TATATACATACACAAGATAGCTATATATATAGCTATATATATAGGGGCACATATATATATAACTATATCTATATATACACAAGGTAGCCAAGATAATTGTGCTACTAATTTCTATTAGTTCATTGAAAGGAACAGTATTTATATTGTTTGATCAATTTTGCATGCCTAAATGTTATAATCTGAGCAACTACTCTGAAGATAACAATGTGCAATATAATAACCATTGTTAATTTCTCATCATCTTGTTTTGAAATTCTGTATCTTTTTTTATACTGTTTAAAATTTTTAAAAAATTGTGAACGTGTTTGCATGGAGCCTATACACACCCTCTCCTGTCCTTTAGACCACCCCCGATGACCTGTAATACCGAAGACACCGCAGAGGCTGGCAAGTGCTCGTCACCCTGCATTGCTTAGGGAACAAGGACAAGAAAAGTCTGTACACATTTTTCCCCAAATACCCTTGACTCTCCACCGATGGGTCTGTGGATCTGGGACCCAGGGACACCGAGGGTGACCGTCAGAAGCTCACCGGCCACAGCGTTCTGGCCCTGGAGGACACTTGCTCGCTCCAACATGAAAGGCTGCATTAGGAGGCCTCAGAGGATGGAAGGTGCTTTCAGTTTACTGTGTTCAGACATTTGTCTTCAAGGAGACGTTAATAACATAGGTTCTTCCCACCTCTAGAAGAAGTTTGAAAGGCTTAGTAGGAAACAGAAAATAATAAAATAAAGTAAATAATAAAAGAAAATAAAATGGGCTGGGGCTGTCACTCAGTGGGAGAGAGCTTGCCCACAGACCTGAGCTGGTCCCCCCATGCGTGGCGTCCCTGTGACCCACTCAGCCAGGGAAACAGGAGTGTGGGCAGAAGCCCAGGCCCCGCTGCCCGTCTCCATGCCAGCTCGCCAGCTGCTCTGGCTGTGTGGGGATGATTCCAGCTTCACAGGAGAAGGAAGGCAGCTGGGCAAGAGCTGTCCGCACGGCTGACCCTCTGCCCACACCCAGCTCCTTTCCCCATTGTCAAGTCCCACACTTGCTCCACCGTGGTGACCCAGACAGCTTGGGAGGGGCTAGGACAAGCCTGCTCCAGGACACACGCACACACAGGGGCCAGGAGGGACTCGTGGCTGCCCCCAAAACCCTGGAACCTACCCAGGCAGGGGTGTCTGCACCAGCGCCCACCCGCTCACAGCTGCGCCCTCAGCCGTGGTCACCAAGTGGTCCTGGGACCCTCCGAGCTCTGCTTAGCCCCTCATGCCCTGTGCACCAGGGAAGTGCGAGGCTGGGTGATCAGCAGGTGCCCTCTGCCCTGTACCCACTGCCCAGAGCTCCTTGAGGGGCTCCCAGCCCATGAGCTGACCAGCAGGCTCCCATCTGAGAGGCTCTGTCAACCGCTTGGCAGGGCAGGACCCGTTCCTGGCACCCACAGCTTCCCTCCTGGCTGCTCTTTGGCTCGTTCGGCTGCCCTTGAAGCAGCCAGGCCACATAGGGACAAGGGGGATGCGACAGCCCCTTCCCATAGGGCCCCCAGCTCCGTGTATTTGGAGACCTTAAAAGGCCTTCGGGAGCTGGTGCTGGGCTCTTATCTCTGGGTGCCGCATTCTGGAGGTGCATTATTTATAGCTCTTCTACCAGGGAAGGGGAGCCAGGAGGCCGGTGTGGCACAGCCGCTGTCCCTGGCCAGCTGCAGGGAGAAGATAGGGCAGTGACACTGAGGTAAGGCCCCAAGCCGTCTTTCCTCTCCCCTTGCCGTCCTTCCCAGCCTGTGTCTGCTACAGCCAGGCTCAGACACCAGCTGCGCTGGCGTCTCACTGTATTCAGGGAGTGCCCCGCCCTGAGAGAGACACCCGGTCCCAGGCACCCACAGATGCCAGCACAGCCCCCGGTGGTCCTGGACCCAGTTCCCACCAGCATGCAGTCCCGCAGGGCCGGCAAAGCTGAGGCTGCAGGGGCAGAGCAGGACCCCTGCCCAGTACCACGCAGGGACCAGAAGGACGCAGAGCAGGGGAGACCGCAGCCCGTCCCCCGCCCTCTTGTGTGGGGGACTGGATAGTTTTAAAGGGAAAGGGAGAGAAGAAAAACTGTAAAATAAACATCCAAAGGGCACAAGGACACAGTGCACTTGAGCCTTTTCTGTGCGACAGAATTTCCAGATGCGGGGAGGGGGAGTCGCTGGTGACGCAGGGGATGTGTGTTTACACAAGGTGACTCATCCCAGCTGGGGATGAAAGCACAGAGCTCTGCTGCCTGCTCTGAGAAGGAATTCCTGGGCGCTGTGCTGATCTCTAGCGCAGGACACGGGCTGAGGCTCGCTGTGCTGAGGGGTGCTCTTACCGGCTGGCCCAGTCCCCACCCAGAGAAGCGGTGTGTGATGATGGGTGACCCCTGCCCTGGCGTGTGCCCAGGCCAGACTCGGCACACGGCACTCAGCAAGCCTGATCCTAAAAACGATGTCGGGCGGCTCGCTTGTTGGTTTCATAGACTGAAGTCCAAAGACAGCTTGCAGAGCAGAGCTGCAGGACGGTGCTGTTATCTCATCTGCTGGGGGCGGGTGGTTTCCGCTTTCCCATTTCTTGAGCAGTGGCGTTGGTTCTGCGTTGTTCCTAGGGATTTGACAAGATGTGCCGTAATACAGTCTGTGACATGCTGCAATTCGTCTTCTCTTACATGTTTTGGGGTTTATCTGGGTAGCTGGGTCATGAACGGATGGTTGCATTTTGGAGGCCTTTTCTAATAGTAAGAGTTAAAAACCTTTTTTGGTGGTGTTGGGGTTAGAACCCAGGGCCTTACACGTGCGAGGCAAGCGCTCCCCCTCTGAGCTGTACCACGGCCTTGGGAAAGTGCTGTAAGGCAGGATTTCCAGGAAAAGCTGCTCCTCTCCCTGCCCACTCGCCAGCCCACCTGCCTACCTGTCTGCGGGCACATCCTGCTTTTGCCAGTTTCACCCTTTGCTTCCTCATCAGCGTCAGGTGCTGCCTCTGGAACATGCCATACTTGTCTGTGTGTTTCCAAACTGGCTGTGCTGAGCTACACCTTCCTACCCCCCTCTGAGACGTCCAGTATTCACAACAACAGCCCGGGGACTGTAAGTCACTCTCTCCCCTCCACAGAAGGAGATGGAATTATATCCATGGTGTTTCTATGTCCACACTATACAAGTAATGCGTAGGAACTCCTCGTTTATCGACTGAGTTATGGTTCTGCAGCTAGGTCGTTAAGTGAATGGGCGGCTAAAGGAGGAAGAGTGTACAGTGCGTGCATTACAGTATTCAGAGCAGAGACGAGGTCTGGGGAAGCTCCAGCTTGATGACTACACAGTGCTGTGATGCATAACAGGACAGAAGCCACAGTGCTGTGCTGTGCTCTACGGTCAGCAAACACTGCAGTGCTGTATGCACAGGGCGTACGGTACAGAAAAAGACAGGGACACTGTAAACAAGACCCACAGAGCTGGAAAGAAAGGCAGCTTGTGAATCTGAGCAGTGGCTCATAAGTCACAACAGCTGTTAAACAGGTGAGTCGTTAAATGAGGGATATCTGTACACTCTTCACAGAAAATACAGACCAGCAGAGAGAAGAACAGAGAAAATTGTGTGCCGTTCGGCTACACGGATAAGTACCTTTAGCTTTTGATGGCTTATCTTAACTCCTGTTGACTCCAAGATGTCTTGATGAGAATATCAGCCATTAATGTGGAGTAGATTCAAGAGAGAAGAAAAGATTGTAACTCCTTTAAAGTAATTTATAGTCCTACCCATGATGAACGCTTTTGGATTCACCTTAAAAACAATAATCTCTACAACATGGTAGGGTCTCTTATTTTTCCTCTTAAGCAGTTTAGTTGGTGACTCACTTTTGGTCCAATTTATGGTCAATTACTTTTACTGTATGTTCAGAATCTGATTCCTTGAAATTGGCTATGTCTGCTTGATATCATGTCTCAGTCACTACGTGCAGATGTTCGTAGTAGCTGGATACATGGGAAGTAAGAAAGCATAAATGGATGTGAGTGAGACTTCATTTGTACTAGCAACTGAACACAGGGCCTTCACACTGAGCTACATCCCCAGCCCTTTCGGTATTTTTCCGAGACAAGGTCTGTCTTGCTAAGTTGCCAAGGTTTGGTTCAAATTTGTAATCCTCCTGCCTCAGCCTCCCAGAGTGCTGACATCATGGGCAGGATGACTTTGGTGTGTCCGATGATGTCCGCTCTGTCACTGCCCCCGTTGGAGTCCTGAACACTCTCCTATGGGTGCTGGCTGGGCTGCTCTCCGGAGTGGGACTCACAGATCTGCCTCCTCCTTCCCGCGGCCATATCGGCCACTGTCAGCCGGGCCCCATGGCTCTAAAACTCGGATGGAAAATAGAGCGGGGCGAGAAGTTCCAAGCAACTGGCTGTGTAGCACGTGTGCCACATAAACATCGCAATTTCTACAGTGGAAACTGGAAAGCGTTTTTCTTAATTGTTTGTGAGTGTCGAGGGTTTGAGCCCAGGCAGGGCTCCCACGTGCTAAGCACATGTCATGTCAGTAATTTTTTAAATCAAATGTTAACTTTGAGGAAGTTTTGACAACTTGAGGCTTCATTTACATTTAAAAGATACCTCTTAGGCAGAGGAGAAATAAAAATGCATTTTAAGTTTTTAAATTGAAAAGTGGATGCTGAAAGAATCAGACTGAAGGGAACTCCTATCCGGTCGATTACACACAGCGCGCTCACTGAGTTTGTTACGGGCGAGGCCGTCGTCAGACATCGAAGGAAAGTGCCGGGATTTTGCTCCGGTCTCGGAGAAGCAAGCCTCCTCTGGTGCCTGAGACCAGGTCCATCCAGGAGCAGGGTGTGGGTGGCACCGCGGTAACTGTGCCCACCTGCTTGTACTAAGCGAAAGGCACCATGGGTGCTGTCCGGGTCCTGCGCTGTGCAGAGAGGGGCTGGTCTGGCGCGGCAGTGGGGTGAGTGTGAACGCGCCTCGCTCGTCACTCACGCGGGTCTCAGAGCCGCTCTCAACCAGCCTCGGATCCCTCGCGTCGCTTGCTCCTCGCTCTCGTTTATTTCTTGTCTTGATCGACTGTTCTTCAAACCACTTATTATCATACACATGTATACACCTGCAAATAGTGCGAGTGTGTGTGCGCGTGCACGCGGGCGTGCAAGTCCCTCGCTGTATGCAGGAAGTTGGTTCCCGGAATCCCCAGGACACTGGGCTCTGCCGATGCTGAAATCTCTCTTAGAAAATGGCTTCGCGTTCACACAGAGCCTCTGTGCGTCCTCCTCTACCGTGTGAGTCATCTCCAGACGGCAAACAACTCGGGCAACATGAACACACCAATGCTGCACACACAGCGGCTCCAGCTTCACAACAGCCCTGCGGTTTGGGCGGTCATAGCCACAGCCACTATTCTAACCCCCAGCTCCCATCCAGGAAATGCTGAGATCCAGAGAAGCGCTCCCCCAGGAGGTGCAGCAGCTGCTTCATTTCCTGTCACCACTGTGACAGGTCAGGGCGAGCTCACGGCTGCACACAACCGCCTCTTAGTGTCTGAGGTCAGAAGACATCACCGAGGAGCACTCTGCTACTGCAGCAAGGCCGGGCTGTGGGATAAGGTGTTCGGAGTGAGGGGAAGGATGCGGAAGGGGGTTCGTGGCAACGTGCCTTTTACTGCAACATTTTTTTATTGAATCCCACACCGTATCCTTCGATCCCACCTATACACTGCACAGGT